GTCTGGGGGAAAATGTCCGTGGGGCAACCAGTCTGCTCCCTAACTAGATATCTATTTTTGCCGAAAATTAATGGGTGGAACATTATGAGAAATGTGTTGACGCTTCATTTTGATTATATAATAGTGATATGATGACTATATAAAAACTGGAGCTAATATTTTAAAAAAAAATTCGCATCTCAGGACTAACCATGGTGGGCCTGAGTGGGTTTGGGCTCACAAAATGCCACATCACCTTTCCAAACACATCTGCGCCCTTGTCAAATATCCCCTCCCGGCATGGGTCTTCGCAAATCGCATTATCCACCCCATTGCTAAATGCTAATAATTATTTATTTGGAATATTTGTATTTCAGATGGCGTATGTTTCATATCTGTTAAAAATGATTATGAAGCTGCAGTCGAAATATGCAGTTATAATTTAGGCTCCATTGCTTCTTACGAGCAGCTATACAACGCATTTCAACCAACTCTGAACAACTGTGAAGAGGGCTGGCTTATCAGTAGAGAGATTGCATTCACAGGACTAACAAACCTCTGCACATTAAAACCACCAGACCAACGTAGCAATGTGTTCCCTTGTAAGAGATATGAAAGTGGGGTTTATTGTCACTGTGAATATAATCCTTCGATGGATACATTCGACTATTTGCCAAAAACCCAACGGATCATTCGACTGACAGATAGTAACTCTAAGATGTTGAATGCATACGATGCTAAGTTCTGTTGCGGCTCTAGATTCAGTGGTCATCTTGCGACACCTCTTGACGTTTATAATAACTCATTGTCAATAGGCGTTAATCTTTGCGAAACAGGATGGCTTTTAGGTTCCTTGGTAGGTAATCCATGTATGGGACATACACCACCTGACTTCTGGCTTTATCCGGCAGGAAATGAAATTAACTTCAAGAAAGCAAAGAACGAATATTCTGCATTTTGCTTCGTTCCTATTGCAAACCAAACCTTAAGTAACCCTGACCCATTCCCCTCCCATCGTGTCATGAATGGACAAGGAGAAATTCGTTACTCTTTAAATTATTACGATGCTGAAGATTTTTGCGCTAATCGCAGTGGTAGAATGGCAACGAGGGAAGAAGTGGTGCACGCCTGGGAGTCAGGATATGACTGTTGTCAGGCAGGCTGGGTCACAAGTGGGGAAATCATTTTTCCTATAGGAGAAGCCAGACCACAAACGTCATGTGGCGGTGTAACTCCAGGTATCAAAAGCTGGGGTTACCAAAATAAGAATACTGCATTTGCATCCGTCTTTTGTTACATGTTGTAAAACACTAAACTCATTTTTGTATACATTATTTGGATAATATATTTGCTTGCAGCTGATTTTCAGCTACCATCTAAAAAGTCTAGGTTCTAGCCTGTTATAAACCAGAGAGCCGAAACAACGCTATAAACGGGAGAAGTAAACCTGATTTCTTTTTAAAGTATGCCTCGTAGTTTTTATTATTATCGATATTTGGTCTAGCAAAACTAGGCGGTACAGACCTCAAATTTGAGGTGTCATTGCAGGACTATTATTTACTTGCATATTACTAAACATGCTTGATGATAATGATCTTTATTCAAAATATTACATCCTAGGTGATTCTGTCCTAGAGAGCGGTCGTAGCCTCTTATTCGACATTTACTCTTACTCTTAGGTGCCTTTTGATTAGTTGTTCGACGAACCGCCTCTTTAGCCAAATATGGCATCTCGCATTATTGTTGTTTGCATGGGCGTCGATCCGCTGTGACAAGTGGGGTGGGGGGACGAATTGCAAAATAAGTAAGTCTTGGTTCGTATAGGCCCAAGGCAATTACATTTTATTTCCACACTACATTTTCAAAAATGCAGTGTCAGATCCAGTAATTCGAAATAGTGGGGGCCCAGGGAGGAACATATGGAGTGTAGACCACCTCAGTCCCACCATGGTTGGGGCTGAGGTAAGAAAATGTATAATTATGGCAACTCTAGTTGGCTTGAAGTGGCACTCTCAGACTTAAATTTGAATATAATTTTCTTTTTTCTCTACTTTTAAATTTTGAACAAATTAGGGAGGGTGGGCCGGCCTGCTAGGTCCAATTAAATCTGCCACTGCTATACTCACCATATTTTTTTTTTATCCTGGTAATAATAATTATGCCCGCTTACATATTTCGTGCAAACTAACCTTCATAAAAATAATGATTTATTATATACTGATACTTGTGACGTATTGGAATCATGAAAAACAAATGATAAACCATGTTCAAAACAGTCACTTCAATTGTATAGTCTCTTCGCATGTACAATACATTAAAAATCAATCAAGAGGTCTTTGCTTTTCTCCTCTTTCTTAATTTCACTTTTGTGCAAGTAGTATTGCGACTACACTGTCGTGAGAGGAAATACTGCCGTTTAACTTACGATCAAGCAGGAGCACACAAAAAATTAATTAGCATTTTTAATTCACAAACATAATTAAAGGTGATTTACTTAATTTATCATTATTATGATGTCATGGTGAGATTGGGTCAACATCGGAGTTCTTAAACTTGTGGTCTCACTACTCAATAAGTCGAAATAGACAGACCTATCCGTGTCTTAGGCTGTATAATTGTTTAATAACAGCTATATACAATTCAAATAATATTTTTTTGAAATTAGGAAAAACAGAAATCTATGTAATAAGGTAATATTGAACACTAGTATTTAAGGGACTTAATAATATATAAAATTAATATATTGTTTATAGAAGAAATTGTGCACTTTTGAGTTTGTAAAACTATTGACCTAATAGGTTATGAAATTACTGTGTTTTCTTGATAAATTTAGCCTCTGATAACCGTTGCACCCATAAAATCGGTGGTGTGGTTACTGAGATGGTTACAAAATATACAAACAATTGCGTTTTTACTCAGTAGGCCTAGGTCCTTAGTCCAGGAAATACGCACTGCACTTGCAAAAGAGCACAAGTGAATAAAGACAAATTAATGACAGTCATTCGTAATTGTTGTTCTTTCCAATCGCTTTGAATATTGGGGTTTTAACTATAGAAGATTGGTGAAAAGTGGGGGGACAATTAAAATGATGTTCCCCTACTTTAAAAAGTGGGGGATGTGCCCCTTGTCCCCACAAATCGACGACCACGGTTGTTTGATATAGCTGTAAAGCGAAGACGGAAGAAGAAGAGCCTTGCAAGAGAATTGCAAGAGAATTTTTTTTAATGTAACTGAATTTGTTTTCGATCAACCAATGCATTTAAGTTTCAACGTATTTTACAACACCTTTAAGCTACCCAAATTAATACAGTAGTGTGACATACTACACTAATGAATGTATATCAGTGCAATGGGAAGAACATTCATTCGTTCAAAGATTGAATGTACCATTCTAAGAGGCGGAGCCGAATTGAATGGAACAGTCATTCTTTCAACGAATGAATAAATCCTTTACATTGAGCGAATGAAAAACATTCCCTATTTGTTTTATAAAACACCTAAAATAGATTAGATATATACCCTTTTTCTAAATGGAACAGCCCAGCGTCTTTTTAACTAATCAAAAGATTGTATTAGGTTGAAGTCGTATGGTATCCTAGGAGCCGTGCAATGGAGCGAAACGAATGGAACGAATATGCACAGATGGAAGTAAAAAGTCGGTGTTTCAATTCCTCGGTGTGCACTTCGCTTGTATCGTTGAAGTGACAGACTATGGAACAGGTTAACTCATGCGTTACCGTCCTACGTTCTCTGCGTAACATCGATTTGGTTAAACTGCGTCCTAAAATCCACACGACTAGGAGAACTTAACGTTCTGACATGTGCAGATGAAATAATATTGACGTAATTACGTTCTAGATTCTACTGTGCGTAGTGCAAACGAAAGCTCCCTGGCAGCAACAATTAAGCACGTGGACCTAACGGCCAGGAAAACATAGCATTTCATAATCCTAAAGGAAAAGCCACTATATAAATACCAAATAACAAATAAATAACAAATAGGCCTAATACTATATGACCAAGGTGTGAGAAAAAAAAACCACTTTTAGCACCTTTTAGATATTCAGAATCTTTCATTTATCATCGTAATAAAACTCTATAATACAAACAACCACACATGCTTCTTTAACTCGTAAAAAGGAAGGTAAATACAGTGTTCGAATAAAAGACATAATAATACATCGTGTAGCATAGCTCTCAACGAATGTAAATATAAATAAACGAATAAAGGAACTGTGTAATTACATACCTCTTACGGGATTAGAACCTGCCGAGCGCCATAACCATTAGACCGCAGAGGCTCCATGGTTGAAAAAGATTCAAATACCGCCAGATAAACTCTATACACAATAGGTACGTCTACAAACAATTATTACATAAATCAAAAAAGCCGTTAACACTGTTAAATTATATATAAATCATTAAAGAAAGGTTAATATAGTGTTCGAAGAAGGAGGTATATTTTATACCTCCTTGGTTCGAATAAAGGATGATAAACAATGTTGTTCGTGTTAAGTGTTTATTTAATTTCTTTTCATTAATGCTGGGATGCCATCGAAAGTGATTACGTTCACTATTGGGTTTTTTCCCCCGGGCATTTTATTACACAATGACTTTTATAGGACTTTGTTCGTTAAAAAGCTACAGGGTAGCTACCATGTTCCATCATGTCCTTATTTAAACACTGTATATGTACCTTTGATGATTTATATGTTCATGTTCAATGTTTATTTTCACAAATCAATAAATCAATAATATTATATATTATACATATGATAACAATAATAATAATAATAATAATATAGTATACATATATAATAAATCGTCAAACAATTGGATTTGATTTGTGGAGAAGGCTATATAAGCTGATTAGACTCGTCTAATCAGCTTTAAGCCATAACCCCCTTACATAATGGTTCAAATTGTATTACTAATTTTATGTTTTTAAAGCAAAACAAAAAACTCAACCGGTCATGTAAGCCTTATTGGCGCTATAAAGTACAGTATAAAGTGATACGACATTTACAAAAATGGTGTGAAGGTAATAATTTAAAATAAATATTGCGCCTATGAGATCGCCAAATATCTTTTTTTTTAAATTAATGGATAATTAAAACAATAATAAATAATTATTATTAACTCGCCTATAAAATCTGTTTCATCGATAACACCTTGGCGTTTTAGGTGATAATTTTTGTCCCGAAAAGTTTAAAAGTCTGCAATAACTGCTTGCTGCTGTATGTGTCTGTATCAGCAATTTTCCTCACATCATTCGGTTTTCTCGCTTCACGTGTATGCTCATATTTTACGCCCTTCACTTTATTTAAATTAAACCCATTAAGGCATGCATACTTCTAAACATCATAATTACATATTGTATATATAGAATATTGTTTAAATTAGCTTAGTACAAGTACAGTCACAAAAATAGATTAGGCCATTGTTGTACTATACATAATCGGCCTAAATCGTAATATGTTACAACGTCATTGCCTTCGGCCAATAGCTTCCGTCAGAATTAAGAAAAATGCAACCATAATAAAGTTGAGGTAGATACAATATTTACTCAACTTATATAATAATTGCCTTTCGAAGCGAAAGATATTAAACGTTTTATATTATTCATAGCATGAAGTTATAATAGTGCTATTAGTTATACAGTTCTATGTATTTTTTTGCTGTCTTCCTTTATGTTGTTTCCTAATTTAGAGTTAAGTATTGCTCATGCTAGCACAGATCAGTATGTTGTTGTTCCACAGCATGTGTTACTAGGCTGGAGGTACGAGTTAGAGAACATTAATCGCATCCAATGTTTATTGGCTTGCTCAGAAAAAATTTACTGTTTTTCGGTGAATTATAATCGCCAGAATAGAATTTGTCAGATAAACAAGCAGATACGGGTGGATGCAACCGCTGGAAATTTCTTAGAAACATCTCATATGATTACATGGAAAAGGTAAGTAACTAATATCAATCTAACTTACAGATAATTGATAAAGGACAAATGGAAAATTGGGATATATATTTCATTATTTTCACAGAATTCGTCAAATACAAGGTTATATATATCCTTATTATTATTATTATTATTATTATTATTATTATTATTATTATTATTATTATTATCATCATCATCATCATCATCATCATCGTCATTATCATTATTATTATTTTTATTATTATTATTATTATTATTTAAATGTAAGCACTGTCGACAAAGAGACACTTATCCACAAGAAGTCACCTATCACTGTTGACTTATTATCGGCCAATAGGCCTACCTTGGAAGTGGGCCATATGAGCATAAGCTTTTTAACCGGCCCGTTGTAGGCAAGTTATAAACAAGGAGGAGAAACAGAAAAAATACAATACTGGGTTAAATTATATTAAAAAAAAAGAAGAAAGCAACCAAAGAAGCATTAACGAAACTTTTCAGTTGAGCAGACAAGGTGTTTTTTCAGAGTTCGTTGACATGAATCCAGTGAGGTTAAATTCAATAGTCTTTACAAAGCCGTGGCTCCTTTCAGCTGTCTGGTTTTGCACCTAGGCTTCGTCAAAGTAAGATGGTGAGAAGATTTTGAGAGCCTGATGACACGATCAAATGATTTTGATAATGGGACAAAATCTGATAACCCAAGGGAACAAAATCCATAAAAAATATTTATAAAATAAATAAAAATGGTGGCAACAGCTCTTATATGTGAAGATGATATCCAAATTCTTCTCCAGATTGACTATAATCTCGTCTGAGCCTT